ACAACAATGAATCCAGCAGTTTGCTTTTGAGTGGAATACGCTTGTTATGAGACGACGTTGACGACCTTTGCAGATACTTATGAGGATGCTTTTATGCGTCTTGAGGGACTCAAAGCAGACTCAAAGTATAAAGGTCAACAGGAGACGCAAAGCAGGCTCTGCTCTACTCTACTGAGTATAGAAGGACTGAAGATGGCAAGAGTTCTTCATTGTCATGTCAACCCTTTCTTAAAGTTGAACATGTTCTTTTGTGATGAAACAGAAACATATGCTTGGTGCCGAGGTTGGAACAACTGCGACGTTTTCTCCTCGAAGGGTATGCTGCCAGGCCACTTGCCCATGTAGATTGATGCCAACCGAGCCATTTCCTTCTGCAGAACAATTTGCGCAGCAGCAGTGTCTTAATTGATTTGTGTTTGTGGCAGTAGCAAGAACGCTAACTACTAACCGGGTTTCCGCCTTCCACACGAATTCTTTCTATGAGGCCTGACAAAAGGTCTTAACCTTTGGTCTTTCTTGGCCACGACAACCACTTGCTACTACAAGCACACACTTTATATTTCTCCATTTTATTTTTTCTTTTTCCCCAAACAGTTTACTGTTAGGGGTTCCCAATTCTTTCTTAAGATGTGTCCGCCCTTTCTGTCACTGCTGGTGTCCGCCCTTTTCCGCTGGCCATGCAGCATTTCTATTCATTTGTCTCCCAGGTTCAGTGCCTGTACTGCTGGTGTCTGCCCTTTTCCGCTGGCCATGCAGCATTTCTATTCATCTGTCTCTCAGGTGATTTCTTTACTTTTGTCTCCCAGAATCGGTGCCTGCACTGCTGGTGTCCGCCCTTTTCCGCTGGCCATGAAGCATTCTATCTCCCATGTAATTTCTTTCTTTTTGTCTCCCAGGTTCAGTGCCTGCACTGCTGGTGTCCGCCTTTTCCGCTGGCCATGCAGCATTTCTATTCATTTGTCTCCCATGTGACTTCTTTACTTTTATCTCCCAGGTTCGGCACCTGCACTGCTGGTGTCCACCCTTTTCCGCTGGCCATGAAGCATTTCTATTCATTTGTCTCCCAGGTGATCTCTTTACTTCCCCAAACAGGTAACTGTTAGGGTTTCTCAATGCTTTCTACGGGTGTCCACCTTGCTGCGGGACAGCGTGTCCGCCTCCCCCTGTCTCCCTTCTTGTTGGTCATTGTGTCCGCCTTGTCTGCCTCCTGTCTCCCTTTGTCTCCGGTCTTGTCTCCCTTCTTGTTGGTCTCTGTGCCTCCCTTGTTGTTGGTAATTGTGTCCGCCTTGTCTCCCTCCTGTCTCCCTTTGTCTGCGGTCTTGTCTCCCTTCTTGTTGGTCACTGTGTCCGCCTTTTCTCCCTTCTGTCTCCTTTTGTCTCCCTTCTTGTCTCCCTTCTTGTTGGTCACTGTGTACGCCTTCTCTCCCTTCTGTCTCCCTTTGTCTCAGGTCTTGTCTCCCTTCTTGTTGGTCACTGTGTCCGCCTTGTCTCTCTTCTGTCTCCTTTTGTCTCCCTTCTTGTTCGTCACTGTCTCCGTCTTGTCTCCCTTCTGTATCCTTTTGTCTCCCTTCTTTCTTCTGTCTCCCTTTGTAACTGGTCTTTGTCTCCCTTCTTGTGGGCCACTGTGTCCGCCTTGTCTCCCTTCTGTTTCCTTTTGTCTCCCTTCTTGTCTCTCTTCTTGTTGGTCACTGTGTTCCCCTTCTGTCTCCGGTCTTGTC